TTCAGTCCACCTGGTTTTCCTGGACCTTCCTAATGACATATTCTAAAGTAAAGTCAAAAAGCAGTGGTGATAAAGCATCTTCTCTTATTAGACCATTTTGGATAGGAAAATTATCAGACAAATGTTTACATATATGGACTTTACTATACGTTTCATTTAAACACATTTTAATCTGCCTAACTAGTTTCATAGGTACCCCAAACTGTATGATAATATTGCACAATGTACTTCCCTCCCAACTGAAACATAGGCTTTCTTGAAGCCTATGAATGGCTGATGTGCTGTCTCGTGGTACGCCAATTTCTTCTCGAGTATCTGACAAAATAAAAGAAAAATTGATCAGTAGTTGATTATGCCAAAACCCAAACTGATTATCCCCAATAATTTCATCTGTATATGGATCTGACGTTGACTGAAGGATACTGGATAAAATTTTGTATGAAGCTGATAGCAGTGATATCCCATGATAACTACCACAGTCAGTTTCATCACCTTTCTTGTAAATCAGTACAATTATAGATTCCTTGCACTAATCAGACAATTCTGCTTTATTCCAGATAGAATCAATGAGTTTATGGATCCCAAACTGTAATGTTTCACCTTCTTCTTGAATCAGTTCTGACAGAATTATATCAATACCTGGCAATTTATACCTTTTCAACTTTGCAGTAGCAATTTCAACCTCTTTAGAGAAATACTGGGCATCATCAAAAAGCCAACCAGAGCAACATAATGGTCAACTTTCTGTTCCCAAGCCACCCCACAGTTTGGGAAAATGTTTACCACACACTGCTTTTCCCACTTGCTGTGCTCTTTTCACCTCGTCAACAGTGAAGGATTGCCAGGCCCTGGAGAACCAAACTATGATCCCTGTGCAAGGTACCAATCCACTGTGGACCATGCAAACAGGGTGTTCAAGCATCATTACACCCCTCAACAAGAATTTAGTGTGGACAAAAGCCTGCTAGGTACCAAAAACAAAACCAATCTCATGCAGTATTTACCCAACGAGCACCACCATTGTTGGGGAATCAATTTATGGCTGCTGTGTTACTCTGTGTTCAACTACTGCCTGGGTTTTTTTACACAGAGGGGGGCCAGGTCTCAGGAAGACAAGGAAAACAAAAAAAAAAAGGCCTTGGGTACACCATCATGAAAAAACTGCTTGAGATTGGAGGGTACCACAACAAAGGCTATAGTATCTTTGTCAATGGCTGTTTCATGTCTGTTCCACTTGTCCACCATCTCCATCAGCTTAGCACCTACATCACTGGAATTGCCAGGAGAAACAGGAAACTTCTACACTAGAAATTCAGAACAAATTTTCAGTGGGACAAAAAATGTATTGCAGATCTGGTCCCCTTCTTGCATGTGTTTTCTGTAAGAAGAAATCACAAAAAAAAAATCCTGTCATTCTTCTCTCCAGCCATGCCACAGCCCAAGATGAGAAAATGCGGGGATGACACGGTGGCAGTCCACAAGTAAAACCGAAAATCATCACATCCTACAAGTTATGGGCAGCACTGACTCTTCAGAAATGATGCTATACACAGTTAATTGGATGAAAGGTGTTGAATAGCTACATTCTCTACAAGGAGCCTGGCAAACTTAAATCCAGGTACAACTACATTGTGTCCATAATCAAAAGCTTGGGAGAAGAGAGGTTGGTGCTGTAGGACAACACTGGAGCATATGATCCCCAGGAACCATGAGGATTCAGAAAACTACCTGAAAAGAAAGATTTCCAGTGCATTGTCTGTAGCACAAAGGAGAGAAGGCGGAGAGCCAGAACAGTATGCACCAGATGCAACAAGGAGCTGCATGGAGAATGCTTCTCTAAACACAGGTGCTAACTGCAAAAGGTACATATGCACTATTTTACATATGTGATGCAGTTCTGGACTAAAGAGCTCTTCATGCATAAAACTTATATCAAAATTTACATAAAAATAGTCTTTTCTTACAAGCTTGCTAACAAGAAAAGGAGACCAAAATAAAACAATTTCATTTTTTGCCTAAATTATGTAAATTTTAAGTTTCTATATTTAATTCAGTTTTATTTTTTCAAATTATTTATAGTGTTAGCACTTATAGGCTATTTTTATTTAAATCTGATATTTATGAGCATGATTTTTTCATATGTCTTTGACATAAATTGTATTTTTGGTGAATTTTTGAAGCAAGATTTGTAAATTGAGCCAAATTCATCCAAGTGTTTTAGGCCAGGAGCTTGGAAAATAGGCTGAGTGTGAAAAGGTTAAGTGTGCAGAAGAAAATGAAGTACCCATTCATCAAATTCTTTAACTTTGTCACATGTGCCATCAAGCCTGCAAGAAACAAAGAGAAGGAACAAAGGATAAAAATTGATGACTACAGCAAAAAAAGTATAATATTCCTATATTTGCACTGATCCCACTCACATATGAACATAATACATTGTGATATTAAACCTACATCAGTCACTTCAATAAGTATCTAACAATTAACAATCAAGTTCCTTCCGTCAAATGTGACACTTTTTTAAGTTTTCCACCTCGTCACCACCTGCCTTACATGTTTGACGGAAGGAACTTGATTGTTAATTGGTTAGTGTGACGGACCAGAATGAAAGACCTTAAAAGTATCTAACAATTTACACTCAAGAAGTGTGCAGTAATGCATGCAGGCATTTGTATGTGTCCTTTCTTCTTGCCTGATCATAACCAAAACAGGAATGTGCTAAGAAATTTCAGTAAATTTTCCAACATAAAATTTCATGAAAATCTGTTCAGAAGTTCCCAAGTTGTTATATAAGGGTAGAAGATGGACAGGTATGGTAAAGCTAACAGGTGCATTTTTGCAACTTTTCATTTCAAATGCACCATAAAAATAGCGTTCTTCTTAAATAATGGAAAGCAGGCACATGTGATCATTTTATGGTTTTGCATAAGAATTTGTTTTGGTGCTAGATTTAACAGTTTTTGGTAATGAATATAAAATCAGCCTTTTCAAAGATAATTACAAATTCAAATTTAAAACAGTTCACTCATACTTTCTTGTTTTTGTTTGCTAACATATGCTTTTAACTATCCCTGAATTTGCCTGAAGGGTTTCAGAGAAGCCATGGAGAATCTCTGTCAGAGCAACAAGGTGGGTTGAAAGTCAAATCTAGCACCTCACAAGTACAAAGCAAAAGTACTAACCTCTACACCATGACCTGCTATCATTTAGTGACTATAAGGAATGTACAATAAGTTTTGTAGTGAGAAGGTACAGTGAAATCCCCACTTCTTTTGCACTGGAGACAAAAAATGGGCACTGTAAACAATTCAAATAGAAAATGACATTCCATTATTAATTACATATATTCATTCTAATCTAACACGCAATGGGAAAATATATTTACATAAATCTAAAAACAACAGAAAAAATTGTATGAGGTGCCTAACTACATAGCAATTGCTACTAAAACTTAACATCTTTCTTCTTGTGCCCATGTTCTAATTTTAACAATAGATTTATAACATGTGTACAGTATTTAAGCAAGTAAATGCAATTTACACAGGATTTCCATACAAAGGGACTTAATACAAAGTTTGTGTAACAGGCCAAAATTACCCTTAGAGCTACACTGAGAATGCAAAAGATTTGTTTCTACTCACCTCTCTTTGTGGGGAACTGCAGCTTCTGATTGATAGTGTTGGTGGTTCTTTTGGCAAACTCAGTGTATCTCATGGTTCTTGATCTTGGAACATATTTGTCTCATTTTGTATGTTGACAGCACAGACACTGCATGAATGTCAGCATTTATTTAATCTTAGAAACATCAAACCACTAAAAACTAAAAAAAAAAAACAATATTGTGACATGTTGAGCTATGGATCACCCCTACCTCCCCAGCGGTACGTGGCGGTAATGTAACGCTCGCGTTACTACGGTAATAGGCGAGTTCCCGCCCCGCCACTCCCCTCCGCGGTGACGTAACGCGCAACGCTACGTACCCGTAATCAACTTCCTACTGTGACGTGGCACTCATTACGCAACCGGTAAGCACTGCAGCTATATAAGTGAGCTGCACAGCAGCTACCAGTCAGTTCTACTGTAGCAGTCGGCGACTTCAGTTCTAGTGTGGCTACCGCAGAGTTGTAACATAGCCATCGCCGAAGATAGTTCCGAGCAAGCCTATGAGCGAGTGTGTTATCGACAGTTCTCCAGTCAGCCGACTAGTGTTGGAGTATAACAGCCGTCGCGGAAAGAAGATCCGGACGTGTGTGTGATTGTGTAATTGGGAGCGTGTGATACAGTGATACATAGCTCCCCTGCTGTAAACGTGTAGACAGAGTGAACTGATTTGCGCATAGGGTTATAAATCGTGAAACCCCGAAACAGTGTTAACAGATTAATGCGATTAGGGTTATAAAGTGTGAAACCCCGCAACTGTGTGATAATTAATTGTAGCCATTTCTTGTAGATTGTTGTATAAACCAATTAACGATCTCTACGGCGTCTTCAGTAACCAGAAACAATATATTTTTCATGCTGGAACCAAAGACAACCCTTCGCTATTTAACTCTGAAAATTAGCAAAATCCTTAGGCTTCAATTTCGTAAATATTGTGATGTGCAGACCCACTGCTATGCAATGGCATGGTAAACACACCTCTACAACAATAGATTTACTGTTGGAAAAGGTGTTTTCTACTTGGTCCATTCAAAAGGGGTTATAATGAAGACAGCTGGGTCAACCCAGTTAGTTGAAAGTCAGCCTGTGAAGAGAAGACTAGCAGGTTGATGCGAAATGGCCACCAGCCTGAATTCCAGTCAGTGGAGAGTTGATTTCTGCAAGGGAGGCTGAGAAGAGATGGCACTATAATTCACCTTACAATGCAGTTGTGGAGTGTTAAATAGCAGGCAACGGTATGACTGCAGAAGCTGAAGAATGTCTACTGCTAAGACTCATTACCAGGAAACGACTAGTGAAAGCAGACTGAGAAGACTTAGTGTGTAGTGCTTTATAGTAGCACTGTAATTACTTGTAGCTCTGAGTGGTGTGTATAAGTGATCAATAAATCCATCTGCCAATCCATACCCTGTCTAGAGTCACACCTAATCTGAAGTACAAATTTCAGGAAGGGATTGGATTCTCATTCACTAAATAGGGTAAAACACTAAAATGAGAAACATTAAATAAAGGAAAATTGTACACTATCTATATGGGGCTTTGGACAGGAACACAAAATGGGGGAATGTCTCAGATTGAGAAACCTTATCATTATTCCACTGCATTGGGAATTAATTCTGACACATTCTATCACAAGGTAAGCTTTATAAAAAAAATGAGCACAATTCCAATTAACCATAGTTATTATTAGCTAATTTTGTCTTTGTATTCTACTCAGTACTGAACCCCTTTTTTAGTGTAGCTGCATCTATTAATCTGTAGGTGAATATATGTTCTTTCCTGGCTCATTCATATTATACCAAAATTTACAAAAGGATCATATATTTCTCGGCGCGTGGTACCTTACTGATCACTAGCCGACCATCATAACTGAGAGATGCAAAGGTCCATGGGTCAGCTGATGACCATTCAACACTGTAAACGGAATCTTCATGTTCATCATATGTTGCCAACACACCATCCTCCAACCTAAAGCCCAGAAAATAAGTAAATAAATATGAAGCAGAATATTTTAAGGTCTAACAATAAAGAAACCAGGCTAATTTCATTAAACAGAAATCATTACCAACCATGTGTGTGCATGATCACATTCAAAGCCAAATATTACCATAACTAAATGAAATTGTTTATTAATCAGCCTGTGAAATGCTGGCCTGTCCCCATCCACCTGGAAATCATCCTAGTGTGATCTGTCAGAAAGCATGGATCAGAGACTGTGTGTCATGTGTTGTGGAGCATCCTACATACAGTGAGCTTACAACTTTCCCACCTGCAAGCCAATATATAAGAATATTTGCCTTTATAAGTGTATGTGGTCTGACAATAAAGTTCATGAACTCATTGTAGTAAAAGTGCTACATATCTCATTGCTGAATATCACTGTGGTTGCCTTCGAAGTACTCCCCTTGGGAAGCTATGCACCAATGCCAGCACCTAGTCCACCCTTCAAAACAATGTTAGCAACTTTGTTTCGACTCTTGATTTGGACTGACTGAACTTATTTGGTTGTGGAGAACTGGTAGTCTTTCATTGTCATTTTGCTGCTTCATTTCAGGGTAATATTGGTAAACCAATGATTCATCACCTGTGATGACATGGCCTAAAATGTCATCTTGCCTCTCCAAAAGGTCTTGGCAAATTTCAACTCTTCTTTAACACCCGTACCATGCCTGCAAACAGCTGTCAACCATTTTCAAAAAAGTCCATTCAGTACTGCCATGGCACTATGCTAAATGACTTCAGTAGAAGCAGAGTGAGATTTTAACAATATTGTCACATGTTTTTCATTGGTAACTGGATTTACTGAGCTCTTACAACTTGTAACTACAACTAATTATAATGCTACTGCTAACCTGCTGTTTACCTACAGGGACCAAGAGTTGAGAAATAACAAAACATCCAGTCTGAACTTATCTATAACCCTCCAGAAGAAAAGCTAGATATATTATAATAGGAATAAGACCTTCACTTACCTGTAATTATGGAAGGGAAAACAGTGTTGGCATCACAAAACAGGGGATAATTAAAAAAAAAAAACTCAACTAGGCTTTAGAATTACGTTTAATGTGGAAGTCTCTTATATACAAAGATTATACTTTACCTTACCAGGTCTGTCCTTGTATAATGATAGTTTAGGTTACAGTGGGTTTAATTACAATTTGTTATAACAAGCTTAAAATTTTCATTCTAATACCCAAAGACAATTTCCCTTCAGAATTACTGGGTTTTTGGACTTCATCCATCAACCAGTATTCTAAAAAACTAGAGAACACACCGTTTTGGAAAATGGATCTGCTTCTGTCCTCAGGTGAGGGAGGAGACACCTACTCTGTTGGGTCTCTTACAAAGAGCTAACTTCAGTTATTAGGTAACCCATGTCAGTACAACTTCAGCTATATACATACCTGGGCCCAGGTTCTGTTGAAGTAATTCTGAGTGTTACACACCATCAGAACCCTTCACACTATACTTACTTTTCTTTATGCGTATCAGGTACTGCATCACCTTGATTAGGGTCATCATCCACCATGTGGGAAATTGGTTCTGATGAAATAGATGCAATGCTAGTCAGGATTACTTGTGAATCACTACTGGAAGTCAGTACTAACTGATCATGAAAATGGTTGTAACGAATACTCCACACCCTGAAAACAACATTTCCATTATGTTAGTTTCCTCAAAATACATTGATTATAACTAAGAACTGATTAAATGTTATAAAAAGTAAAACAACTCAGTGAAATTTGAAACAGCTTGCAAGAATTGACGATTATTGCTTACTTAATTTCTTGATATACACGTATGACATTTATTGACCAAATTGTTACTGAACTGTTCATGAAGCTCCCTGTTATTATGGTACTTGAAGATCATGACCACAAAAGTCTGCTATAGCACCAAATACAGTGCACATCTTTGTACACTTTTCCCTTAGCCCTTAACATACTCCTAGTAGACACTGCTTTCAAAGGGTGATTTTTTCCTTCACATTATTGTATCCCAAGTGCACAAAATGATTGACTTATGATATCACCCATCCTGTGAGATGCCAGGTTTGGTGGATGACTTATGATGTTGCACATAACTGAGAGCTTAAAAAACATTTCAATAGTAACCTCCCATCTAGATAGAGCTGGAACAGCTCAGTTTGTGTAGCGACTAGGCTAGGGTCTAGACATCTGAGGAATCAGTGCTAGTGCCTGGCAATGTAGAAAGATTTTTCGCTTCTTCCCAGCACCCAGACTGACTGAGGGGCCCATCCGGGATCATATCCCACAGGTAGCAGGCATTCTCTCCCCAGTGATAAAGCAACTGAGACATGAAGCTAGCAAGCCACCTCTATCTAGCACTATGATCATAAATGTGTGGAGTTATATCACCACTCCCTCACAGATCTTCATGATCCAGTGCTTAATTAAGTAAAGGGATAACTTTAACTTTCAGCTCCTATCTATGTCTTGGTGTCCCATGCAGTGTTTCCTATGTGCTACATATCCTCCCATCTCAACCTTCTTGACTACATCACACTAGAAACATTGTGCTATTCAGCTTTCAGAAATTACTGCTACTCTTATGGTAACAGGGTTCCAGCTGATGGTGATGTAATGCAGGTCACTCAAGGATATTCCAGACTTAAAGACAAAGGCACTACCAGATCTGAAAACAGGCCTCCCTAGCCTTATCAAAATGAGGTGGTACATTTTTTTTTCATTTGCTTAGTGGGGGGGGTGGGGGGTGGACTCCAGTTGGGTCCACTTGGCACGGCGGCCACTGATTGGCCTACTGTACCATCCCCGGGTGATTATGATGGAGAATTTGGTGGAATGAAGATTGGCAGGGGAAACCTATCCACAAATCCCACTTGACCAAACCCAGGTTTGAACTCAGGCCGCCGCGGTGGGAAGCCAGCAACTAACTGCTTGAGCTATGGGGCTACATGAAGAAACAGAGCTATATAACTTTCTTGTACAAAATGTCTGTAGATTCTAAAGGATTCTGACAATGGTGTATGACACCCAGATTACTTGGTTTTTGAACTTTGTCCACTGTGCAGTATGCTATAAAACTAGAGAACATAATATTTAAGCTACCTGTTGCAATGAGGTTCCACTTACTGTCTATCAAACGTTCCATCTATAATGCAACAATCGGTAACACTGATTCACACTTTAATCCACACAGTGGTCATTATGTGCATAAGATGTTATTAAAATATTGTCACGTGTTGGGTATGTGTCATGCGACAAATAACTTCACGCCGTCTTGGATGCAGCGAATTTATTCCACATTCGCTCTTACACGCACACAACTTACAATTTCACAGTTACTGTCATCTGCAGTGTCACAATTACTTCTCCTGCTGTAGTCACTGCCATTAAACTCGTAGCTGCTAGACTTCAACTCCCTTCTGTCTGGCTTCACAATCCACACTGTCTCACACACTGCTCAGCTGGCCTCTTATACTGTTCCGTTGCCACGTAGTAACCGCAGTGTCCCCTGTCACATCACTGTGGGAAGTGCTGTTACGTCAGCGTGGGGAAGGGGGGCAGAGCCTTTACAGGGTATTACCACAGCAGCGGGCAGCGGCTCCTATGCGGTTACATCACCGTGACAATGGTTGCCTGACACAGCTGCTCTGCTGTTATATCACCACGGGGGGGATTTACCGACAGTTGTGTAATGATGGAAGGAGTAGGGGTATGTGACGTCACTCGTGAAAACGCGGAGTTCACGTGACCACTACTTCCCGTTGCGCCATCCATGTAACAATATATATGCATTATGTTATATGTTTCGGCAGTATAAGGCAATCTTCAGGCAACACTTATACAAGGAATCCTAATGCACTGCACAATAATCGAATATCATTCCTTTTATTACCTCCATTTCATCTTTGATGTTTTCTTCTTCATATTTTTTATGTAGTATGGCTGCTTCTCTGTAATGTATAACATGTATTTAATTAATACAATTCTACTTCAATTTCTTGCATATCTAAGTGTTGTATTTCTGTACTTAGGTATTTCGCTGGTATGCTCTTGACTGTGTGTATGAAGTGTGCATTTATGTTCCCTCTATTGATTTTTGGTATGATTGCTCTTGCTTATATATATCTTTTTAGGTATTGAGTGTGCTGCTACCTATCATAAAGGTCATGCACTGTTTGGAATCTAGGGTTACGCACTTCGATGTATGTATCATTCATATGTACACTGTTTCTATTAATTTTGTAAATATTTTTTTCTGGGGTGTTTAAATGTCTGCCCTTCCTTCCTGTCCTTATGACATCCACTGTATCGGTTATTGTGCCGTATGTGTGACCTGCATTTAATGTATGATTTGAATAACTACAATTACTATTATTTCTGATAGCATGAATATGCGCTTTATATCATGTCGAACGTTCTTCCAGTTTGACCAATATATTTTAGTGGGTAATCCGCACATTTTATCTGGTAAATGTCACTATTGTTATGTTTATCAGTTTGTGTGTTATGTTTCAATATATTACTGAATGTGTTTCTTGTACAACAAGCAACTTAAAGTTGTGTGTCTTCAAAAGCTTAGTTATTTGTCTCACGTCCTTAACACAATACGTAAATATAGCCCATTTTGCTTTTTGATGTTCCTGATCTTCGTGTATGTTTTGTTTTGGTATTTGCAGATGTGCAGATCACTGTGGATAGTAAAGTTGGAGACATACCAGGGTGCTTTAGTTACTGAAAACAAGAACTCGGATTGAAGTCTCTGAATTATTTTTTTTGTTTGATGGTTTTGTACAGCCCCATAGCTGTATACCATATGTCCATACGGGTTTTACTATGCATTTATAAATTAGAAGTTTTTTTTTTCTGTGGATAGCTTGGATTTACGGCCCTAAAGCCGGGACACTTCTCATAGTTTTAAATTTAAGTTCTGATGCTTTCATTTCGAGGTGTTTCTGCCATGTCAATTTTTGGTCAAGGTATAATCCCAAATATTTTACTTAAGTTTGGACCAGTATTTGCATATTATTGATGGTAACATAACTTGCACAGATTTTGTCTGGTTTATTTTAATTTTACATTTGCTGTACCACTGCTGGAGGAGGTTTAAGTGATGCTGAAGATGTTGTGATGCTACTACTGGATCATTATTTGCTGCTAGCAGGGCTGTGTCATCCACAAAGATTGCAACTACAGGGTTGTTTGTTGTAGATACAAATACCTAAGACCAGACTTTGTTGAAGGGAGATAAGAGAAGAAATGTACAATCAAACATTGTGATAAAGCATGCACACACACCTGAAACTAAGAAAGGGATGTCAACATTTTATGCAAAAAACCAAACCCATGAAAACCAATGTGTAGGATTAATTGGAGAATTTTGTGAAACTGTTTTCTGTTTACTTCCAGTTCCACCTACAGAGTAAAAACTGAACTCTCAGGGCTAAAATATTATAGAAGCCCATGAAGAATATGTCATATCATACTGAGTTGCTAACCTCATTGCTGATGAGGAGTATCCAGATAGGAGAAATGTCCAGACCGGGTTGGCGGATTGGACTGGTTAAGCATGCCATATGGGCCAATTCCTTGTATTTCCTATACCTACCGTTACTTTAAATTTCCAAAATCCTGGCATCATCCCAGCCTACTCTGTGACCCTCTTCAGAGGAATGTTGGGCTAATCTTGATTTCTCTAGATGACCCTCTCTGAGATTGTGCCTATGTTCATGGAGTCACATGGCTAGAGGGCTGCCTGTTTTGCCAACGTAGCTTCTGCCACATTCACAGAGAATGCTACAGACACACTGTGCCATCTGTTTTGAATCTCTTTTTGACCTAGTTTTCATGAGTGAATTCCTAACAGTGTGCTTACTTTTGAAGACTGTCCTGATGTTACATCAATTCTCCATATGCTTGAACTTCTCTGCAACACCTGTCACATATGACACAGACACAGCCCAGACGCTTTACCTCTGTGGAGACATCCCACATAGCACGCTGTTTCCACCAGTCTTTTAGACAACACTCACTCCTTAGTGAATATCACATTGCTGGACGTTTCATTCATATTTATATAAGCATGCACTGCATATTTCCGCTCCTCATTTTCATTAGCCAATCAGCGCTCTGCTCCTCAAATGCAAGTTTTGCTCCGCCCACCGAGCATGGTATAAAAGGCGGAGACCAAAACTCGCATGGGCAGTGAACACATCCGGCTCAGCACGTTCAGCCATCAACTCTACACTGCGATCGGTCGTCCGAGACATCAGCTCCTCACTTCAGCTCTAGTTGCCCCAGGCCTCCAGCGACCAGGCAACCGAAGCAGCAGCAGCAAGTCTCCAGTGAACGCGTCTTCCACAATCCCAGCAACCGGCCAAGCTAGCCGATCCTACCAGTGTGCGCAGCACTGCCTCACCATCCAGACCGGCCAGCTAACAGCCATAAGACTCGGCCCACTACAGAGGAGTGAAATTGCAGTGGAACGAACTGCCCCTAGAGGACCAGCTAACACTTGAACATTCCACATATATTCCACGTTCTGCTATTTTGTAAATTCAGTTCAAACAATTCAATATATATACAAGTGTTAAGAGTTTCAAGTGGTTGTCATTTCAAAAATGGACGATCCCACACCTCTTTATTCAGATGAGTGCTACCCTTGGAGCTAACCGAGCAATGACCAGTCTGTAAGCTGATATCTGAGCCCATGATCTGTGAAATGTAACCATTAAACTGCAAAATTTGATGTACTGTGTTGCATCATTAAAAGGACTGTAAAATACTACTGCTACCTCATTGCCATGATCTGTAATAAACTATTTCTTATGGATCTGTTACAGATTATTTCTAGTAGCTCTGTGAATTGCTGATGTTGCAAAAATTATCCATTGAGTTATAAGACAACAACTGCAGTTTAAATGCCATCATAGTTTTAAAAAAGAGCAGGTGATAGCTGCCCTTACTTACCAGTGAGAATGATCAGCTCTGGCGACAGCAGATTCTGATGGATTACGCACATCCCAAAAACGGCTGTAGCCATCATCTCCACATGTTGCCATATAGTACTGTTTATTTGGGTTAAAGTCCAGGTCCCTATACAGTAATTCATATACTAATCAGTTTGATAGCTCTCTGCATTTAAACAGTAATAGCCCAATAGGAAAGTTATTCATATTACGATTGCTCCAAATATAACAGTATTGTTTGTGATCACTTGCATTTGTTATGCCATTCTCTGAATGGTGAATGTATGCACATAACCTTATTGGCATATTTACTGTAGTTAACACTTTGCGGACCACGCACCCTTTAAAAGGTTTTTCACTTTTAAATATGGTGGACCGTTCGCGTGTTAACAGGTTTTTAGAACATGATAAGTTACAACACACCATACATCCCTCTGGCGCCACCTACATTGCACGCAACCACCTGCAGATGTGTGATAAGACTCTGGAATGTTTAGTTAGCAGTCAGTAACTTGACCTCACTGTTTACTTAACCGACTATAAAGGAAAATGCTTTGCCTTCTTCAAAATGTGTGTATCAGCCAGTAGCTAGTGGGGAGAATGGATCAAGGACAAATTCTCCTCCGATGACCTAGCTGACCTGCCTTGTGAGACGCGTAGTAACGGATTGTCATTCAGACAGCGACAGTGACGGGGGACAACAAAGAATTGTGGCCACAGACAGTAAAAGTGAAAGTAGCTCCGACGATAATGTGGGTAATAACATTGCGCGTAGTAACATTGCTGGGACAGCAAAAAATCTAAACCCTAATTCAAAATTGAAATACAAAGTATTTCTGATGAATGTGGCAAAGGCCTGGGCTACAGTCAAGATGGTGGCGGCAGAACCAGGGTCACACAAAGACTTAGTACGACCGAGGCCATCAACTCCCACTCCACGAAGGCCTCATGTGGACCCCCCAGGGCGACTCTTGAGTGATATGCGGAAAAATACCCTCGTGAAAATTGTGAAGAGTGAATATTCCAAGGGGAAGAATACTTCTAGGTAATGCCGTGTTTGCACAGTTCACAAAAAAAGGAGTATGTCTACATTTGCAAGTTCTGTGTAATGCCACTTCACAAAGGGGAAAGTTTCCATAAATATCACATCCTCAAGCACTTCTAGGAGCACTGGTAAGTGTTCTCCAAAAATTTTAGTTCAAAAAATTAATTAGGAGATTTTATATTAATTTTTAAAGTGAACAGTGCACAAGTTAGGATAGTATGTTTAAAAATGTCGGTCCCCAGGGTAATTTAAATATTTAAATCACCGGTCCGTGAAGTGTTAAATATGACTTAATAGGTAAAGGTGTCCCACTGCCTAAGCACCCTGTCATGATGGCCTGCAGGAAATTCCAAATGTATGGTATAGACATTGAAACAGAATTGGATAGCAATGTTTACCTCCTGTCTCAGAAGACTTTAATAGCTGAGTTTCACGAGGGAAAATCATTATATAATACACCCACTCTATGCTTAGTGCAGCAGAACCACTGTAAAGAAAGGTAGCAGTTATATATATGGTGGCTTGTTTGCCTGGATTGTGTTCCCCAAAGCACAGTGAAGGGGTATTAATTCACAATAATGTAATGCAATATGTAGTTGGTGTAAAGTGTTTCTGCCACTATTCAGAGCCAAATATAAAATCACACTGAATTCAACATGTGAAACTTATGAAACATTTTCTGAAAGAAGAGTAAAATAATTTTGTGTGCACACGCATAAATGTCATCTATTTCTGAACTTTGAATACGGTTAAACAGACTAATTCCTAACATTCCAGGTTTTATTTGGACCTTACAGCTTTCAAAATACAATAAATAATATTAATTTTCTGAAACATTGCATTTTGGATATTGAAAGGCAGATAGTATACTGTGGGTATAAATGCCATCTCTTAAAGGTTAGCCTCCTTTAGCCTAAAATATGAATAAAAAACAATAAATGATAAAATTAGTAATACAGCACATATTGATGTGCATGCTCGAATGGATGTCAAACTAGTATCAAGGTTAGGACTTTCAGTGTCCATAAAAAACAATAGTGTGGAAAACAACTATAAATTGAAAGATGTGATATGCAGTGCAAACCTTTCTCCAGGCAGCAGAAATCTTTGAAACATTCACCAATGGAGAAACTAGAGTCAGGTCTTGTTTCATGGTTTAAATATGCACATTTTAGGTGGCTTGCCACAACTATGGTATTAGAGAAATCAACATTTCCCTTTATGTCACATTGCAGTATCACAATTACTTCTGCTGTAGTCACTGCCATGCACTCTATACAACCCAACTCGGTGACTGCTAGATTGAAACTGACTGCTTGCTCTCTAGCTATAACTGTTATAAAACCTCTGTCGGACAGCAGAAAACCCACATCACTTCACTGTTGCATAAATGCCGTGTTTACAGGTATTGCTGGGGAATGCTGCTGAGAGTTGTTTATAGCTGCATAGTAACCGAGGTGTCCCCTGTTACGTCACCGCATGGAGGGGGACGGAGTGTTTACTGGCCTGTTACCATAGCAGCGGCAGTTGCTCCGATGCTGTTATGTGACCACTGGAGGGGGGGTGTCCTGCATAGCACAAATACGTCACACTGCTCCCTTCTAAAGGTTGTTGGTCCCGAACAGCCTAACGGTGCACCTCCATTCCTTTTCTTTCAAGGTTGTGCTTTCTGCGTCTTCTTTTGGTTCAGCTACTCCTCTTGCAGTGACTAGACTCCAGCCGTTAGATCCGCTCTCTTCTCTCACAATTACACAATTCACAATTTCCCCAACTACTGCCATCGGCAGTATCACAAATACTTCTCCTGTAGTCACTGCCATGCACTTGACACAACCCAACTCGGCGACTGCCAGATTGAAACTGACTGGTTACTCTCTCTCTACTAACTGTTATAAACCCTCAGCCAGACAGCGGAAAACCCACATCACTTCACTGTTGCGTAAACGGCGTGTTTACAGGCATTGCTGGGGAACGGTGCCAAGAGTTGTTTATAGCTGCGTAGCAACCGTGGTGTCCCTTGTTACATCACCGCGGGGAGGGGGACGGAGTGTTGACTGGCCGGTTACCGTAGCAGCGGCAGTTGCTCTGATGTTGTTACGTCACTGCTAAAGGAAAGGTGTTCTGCATAGTGCAAAAACATCACACTATGCATTGGTGATGCCTTGTGCTGCACTTTGTACACTCTGGAAAACTCTTCTCTGCATTTAGGAAGATTACTGGATGAGTTACATACAGTTTTCAGTCATATGGCTCTAATGACATTTTCTCTGTTGAGTTTAATCTCCAAGACAGCTCTAGGCTTATCCCCATGGTACTTACAGCCATTTACCTTTATATTATGTTACATGTTTTAGTGACTAATAATGCAGGTTCTGGACTGGATGAATGAGTTTATTTACTCCTTATAAACACCACCAATAATTACATGTAATTATAGCGCTATCACTGTTTGGACATTTTATAATTCACTGTTACACACATACACACGCGAGCCATCTCCTGGCAACAGGATTAAAAAACAGGAACTATAACAATCTCACTGAATTACACACTCCAAATATTACATATACTCTTCTCTTCACAGCTGCACTCTTGCAACTAACTCTTTTCTTCACAACCTCCATACAGAACTGAACTCTCAAACTCAGCTCTCCTGAACTCTGATCTAATCCAAAGTCAAGGTCACATTGCGACTAACGGTCGGTCGGTCAGTCAGTCAGTAAGTCTTGGTGTCTTTATTACTGCTTGACCGTTACGGTCTTGTTTTTTGGGGCGCCCTCTCTGATGAGAGGACAGGTCTGTCTCTTATATATGCTGCTGGCCCTTGCCAGCACAGTCTTTCTCGGGTCTGAATCCCTTAGGACTCTTGACCATATTTTGCTGTCTCAGTTTTGAGACTTCCCCTTTCATCGCCTCCTACGACTCGCAGGGTCACGGTGGAGGTATTCGATCCCGCCTCCATACGGGTTATGTTCTAATCCCAGCTACAGGCTGTCGTTATATAGACTCCACACGGACCACACAGAAAACAGTGTCTTTATTGTTGATTAAGCTTGTTTACCGCCCAGTTGCCTATCAATAGATGTCCTATTGTTGCATGCTAAAGTGTTGTGGGGATGTGTTTACAGGCCCATTGCCTAGCAATGGACTTCTGCTTGTTTGTTGCTATTCCAGCTTTTCAGGCAGTGTTTACCTAGCTGTTGTCCAGAAATAGCCCATATGTCACAATATTTCTCATTTTGGGCACATTTGTCATTATCAAAGGATTCTGTGTTGATACTCTGTTTAGTTGCTATTTTGATGCATTTATTTTCTCTTATTTCTTCATAGGTCAACATGTTATTGCATTCAATGGAAAGTAATAGAGCTACCTTTGTGTAATTGGTTGACAAAGGGCCAAAGTCACGTGCAAAGGTGTGACTGCAATTCCTTGCATTAGCCCTGGATATAGAACTAATGGCAGCAGTGTTCAAACCCCATCATGCAACAAATAAACCAAACAACTGATCAATTCTAGCCTTAGCTGTCAGTTGTCACCCTCGGTTCGTCTGTCCACTGTTTTTACATCACTATCAATCTGATGAGAAGTCTGTCCCTCTGCATTCTGTTGTCATGGTGATCCATCTGTCTTTGTAGCCTGAAGTTTTAGTAAGATAATCCAGTCTTCAGCTTTTCCAGAATAGCTTGGTTCCTCTCATAATGTATTCATATGTATTTTGCAGTCAGATTAATGAATTCAATTTTGACAGTTCTGATTCTGAATTTAACTTCATGGGGCAAGTTTCATTATCCTACAGCTATGTTAACAGAGCTAATGTGGTTTTATTAAACATACTTTGTCAGAACCTTCATACTTTTGCATCTATAGATTTATCCTCCATATGAACTTATTATCACCTGACCAACTGGCAGTGAGCATTTTCAATTGTCCAAGCTGATCGAACTGGAGATACCCGCAAGTCCCAACTTCTAACATGCCCTTCATTGGCCGTTACAAACTGTGAACAGCCATGGTGAGGATTCCATTTACCAGTCGTGAAGCGAGGCTGACCCTTTCCTTCAAGAACTCCAGACTGAACCACCTGCAACAGAACAAATCTAGTAACATATAAGTTCTGAGATTTTCATAGCAGTGACTTTTCAAAAACTGTGGTCATCTGGCTTGTGAAACCATACAGTCTTGCAAAATATCAGTGTTCCTAAGGAACATGCTGTCTCCATCTTTAGGGTCAAACTGTAGAGAGTGCGGCTAGTTTAGGTGATATTGGGAAATTGCCAGGAAGTGATCACTCAGATCCATGGAACCCAATGTGTGCTAACAGGAGCAGTGAACAAAAAATGTATGAAAAACGGCATAGCTCCACATCTCTCCTCTGATTATTATTAGCTATATTGAATCCTTTGGTTCTGCTAATATACTATCAGTTATTTTGTTTATGTCTGACTTTGGGTTCCATATTTTGCCATCTATGTGCAACGTCAGCTAGTATTCACAATTTTCAATCTTTACATAACACTGTTGTTGTCATTAAATCAAGAAATATGAGATGAGCTGGGAATATAGCACACATCATGGACACAAGAATTGTAAACAGAAGTGCAAGAAAGTCTCTGGGTATGCAGACAAACTTAAAAGTCAAGCTTATATGAGAGGACAATAATGAAAATAAATTTGAGAGGATTAGGTTGAGGAGAAGTTAACTGGGTTGAAACGGTTAAGGACAGGATCCAAATGCAGGCTTTTACATTTGTGGTGACAAACATTCAGATTCTGTTACAGGAGGGAATTTCCCAATTACTGGATAATGTTCTACTGCTCAAGGACGACCCTGGACCATCAAAACTGACAGCGTTCTCACAGCAGTAACTACAAAGAGTTCTGCCTTTTGGAATATAATGCCGTACAGCCTGGTGAAAGTCAACTGACATTTTGGAGGAAAATATCACCTCCATCTTCAGGGTTGAGGAGCTCTACCTGCCGCCTGCTTCATGCTGGTTTCTTGCTTGGCTTGCTCCTTCAAGCTTAAGATGGAGGTGTAATGTCTCTTTGAAATGCCGAACAACAACAGGTATACTGTACCAGTATATGAAGGCAATGATATGTTTCTCAGCATTTTGCAGAGCCTTTGTTGAATTTTGGTAGTAAATTGAATTTATATTCTGGTTTGTGAATTTATTTCCCAAACTGTATCTGGATCTGCTTGAATTTGAAACAAATTGATTGACTGATTGATTCATATACCTAACAATGCAACATTGAGTACACAACTGAATTTACCATATCAAAGTATCAATATACATCAGCTATTCTCAATATTTTATTATTTATGTCCTATCCACTTATGTAACTGTTACCTTAGCAGTGTCTCTATGGTTCAGATCCCATATCACAAATTTATTATCCACAACAGATGCTGCTTTTGACCCATCAGTTGGATGAAAACATGTCACTTTCACATCTGGACCGTGAGGCTCAGTGTCTAATTTGGAGACTAGTTCCAGAGCTGGCAGGTCACTTATTCCTCCACATTCTGCCACTTCATCTGGTACTCCATCTACTTGTAAAGGAAGCCTCCAAATGGCTGACTGCATGCGGCATGTATTCTCAGCTGAAGGACAAACATATCCTTGAACCAGGTGTGTGCTGCTAAAATGTTAAATACCAGTTCACACGAAGGTATTAAGGCCCACAACACAACAATGAAGTAAATTCCAATTTTAATAAAACTGATTAATTACTTATGGAGCTGAGCCCTTCTTGAGGAGAAGGCAAATCTGCAGCTACTCAAGAATTTTCCAGCATTTTATGGTACTCAAAGGTTCATTACTGTGTTCACAAGAGCCATCCACTGATCCCTATCCTGAGCCAGATCAATCCAATCCATACCATCCCATCCTATCTCTCTAAGATCCATTTTAATACTGTCCACCCACCTACACCTTGGTCTGATTAAAATACATAAAATAAACCAATGCTTTAATCCATTTTATTTTGATGTTATAACAGATGATCAGGCACACAGTGGTGTAGATGGGTTTTTTCAATTGACCTAATCCTTCCAGCTGCACTATGGCCCTGGGGCTGACTCAGCCTCTAACAGAAATGAACACCAGGAATTTTCTTGGGGGGTAAAGGGCAGCTGGCACGTAGGGCTACCAACTTTACTACCATTTGTGAGCTGACTGTCTAGAAGATGTGGGAGCAACGTCCTACAACCCTGTGGGTCTTCATGGCCTTTTACAGGGATAGCTTTACCTTTACCTTACACCACATGACACATAAAAAAAGCAGTTCACATGTTGACTTGTCAAGTGTCAGCATCTTATTCCACTTTCCAGAATAGAAAAGGGACTTATAATTTCTTCACTTTGTGTATGTGTGCATGTGTCCCTTTAGTGGAGTCAAGAAGGTATCGTAAAGGAAGGAAGGATACGAATGTATAACTGCAAGTAAAAACAACAAGACTGACCACATTATACAGAAAGAAGTGGTTACACCAACATAGTACTCTCGCTGTATGAAATAATTACTTGTTACAGTGATACTGTTACAGATTGGAACAGAAAACTAAATAATTTAAAATTTATGTTGGAAAAGTATTTGTTAAGAAATATTAAACAATCAATTTAAAATATGTATAAGAAAGCAGGTATTTATGTTCTGTTCACATTGTATTTGTCTTTATACCACACTTCTCTGGCCCCCATCCAACCCTTTCCTCTCCTGTTTTCTAAGATACTGCAAAGGCAATATAAAATTAATTAATAGTAATACAAAAATAATATGAAACAAACTGAAGTTAGAGAAATACAAAGGTACCTAATATAAAACTAAGGTAAGGTAACGTAATACAAAATTATAAAAAATTAACATAAAATGATACAAGAGTAATGAGCTAAACTAAAATTAATAATAAAAGAAAGGCTGCAGCTCTCGAGAAATGTTGTTCCAATTCATTAATACAAGTTGTCTGAGGTTATAAAATGAGAGCCTACAGGCGAATTAGTTTAGTCATGGTTAGGAAGTCACAACAGCTAATTAGTATGTGTTGAGAGCTGGCAGTTGAGAATGTGAGTTGTGAAGGAGCCACTGAACATGGAAGCTGAGGAATCCACATTGTTGTGGGTAGCTGTTGGGCAACGACTAGTGAAGACAAAGTGAGAAGACAGTGTGTGCTGTGGTGAGAAGCTGGGTGTGTTATTTAGAGAGAGTACTATAATTACTTGTAGTTATGATATATGAATGTTCAATAAATCCAATTATCAATCCAAACCCAATGTCCAGTCACTAACACATGATAATATTATCATCTCACCTACACCCATGTGTCCCAGATAAAAGTTGTTCCAAAGAATCTGTCCAAGTTCAAGGTGCTGTGCAACATTTTGTAACACGCTAGTTTTTTTATGGTAGGAGGTTGTGAATAACTAACAAGAGATGGCTGTACAGCTTAGGTTCGGACCTAAGTTATACAACCATCTCTTGTCAGTTGTCCACAATTGTGTATTAATTACAAATGCAGCTACCTTCCACATCAGGTGCTAATCTCCTGCATCTGCAACCTCAAGTTACACCATGGTGTGGTAGTCAGGGACCTATTTATTGTAACAACATTTCAGCTCTCCAATTGAAGGTAAAAGGTATGGCAGAATGTCCAGTTCATTTCTTAAAACTGCTGTTGATTACAAAATTATTCAGTAATGGACTGCTTTGATATCAATGTTATACCCTCACACAAACTTCATTTTCTCACTCAGTTTGTTCCATTATTCCACAACATGTTTTAGCCAAGGTCTGTTATCATCAGATGGGAATAGTTCACAGAGATTAACAAAACTGTCAGAACTGTAAAAATTCAACTATACTAAAATAACTCTACTGTAAGTTGGATCAGGCTTGTAACTGTATTTGTTCACACAAAAGCAAAAACAAACTCCGTGATTTTAGTCGGCATGCGAACTATACCAACCAAGCGACCGTCACTTGTCAGCAAATTTTAGAACCAACCTTAGTGGATAGAGGGTGTCACATGGTCAGCATAACGAATCCCCATGCCAGTTAAGTTCAGTTTTCTAGACCGGAGCTGCTATTTCCTTGAAAATAGCTCCTCAATTATCATCACGAGGCTGAGTGTACCCCATTCCAGACATACTACTTTTCAGAAAATATCTGGTAGAGCCGAGAATCAAACCGGGACCTATGGATCTGTAGCCAAGAACTCTGACCACTAGACCATGGAGGAGATTCAAACACCCAACCAATTTAGTATACTTATATTTTTATAAATCTAACAATTCTGTCAACCTTTGCATATTATTCCCATCTGATGGTGACCAGTTTTGGCTGAAATATGCAGTGGAACAGTGTAACAAAGCGAACAGGAAAACACAGTTTGTGTGATGGTATAACATTAACATCTGTCAAGTAACAAGCAGGATACATTACAAAATTGAAATCCTTAATAATTTGTGAAGTAATTAAATTACTGGCTTTTCTACATATGTGTAACTAGAAGGTGGTTCAAATATGACCGGGACTAATTTTTTTTAACCATAATTGCCAAACACTTACTTGCACATGTCAGTCTTCAACGTACTCCCCTCCGGAGTCAACACATTTCTTCCAATGTTCTGGAAGCATCCTGATGCCCTTTTCAAAAAAGGCTTGTGGTTGGTGGCGTATCCACTCCCAAACAGTCTGGATTATGGCATCATCCACAAACCGCATGCCTTGCAAGTCTGATTTGAGCCTTCTGAACAGGAAAAATTACTTGGGGCCAAATCGGGACTGTACGGTGGATGTGTCAGAAGGTTCGATTTCAATTTCTGGGGGGTTTCCATTGTTGTTTTGGCCGTATGGATGGCGTGCATTGTCTTGAAGGAAGGCTACCCGCTTTCCACCAGTCTGCTGCTTGGATAGGATCTTTTCCTTCACGTCTGTTGCCAGGAGGTCTGAGTAATAAGCTGCATTGACTGTTCTGGCATCTGTCAAAAAGTCTACATGGAAACCCCCCTGCCAGTCCCAGAAGAATGTTGCCATCACTTTTCCTGCCGAACGGCTTCTCTGCGCTCTCTTGGGTTTGGGAGAACTGGTATGTCGCCACTCATGTGAAGACTGCTGGGACTCGGGAATGAAGTAGTGCACCCACGTTTCATCCGTAGTCACTATAGACTTCAAAAATGCATCACCTTCGTCTTCAAACTGCTGTAGAAGACTGGCAGCTTGCATGCACACCATTTTGTTCACGTCCATCAAATTGCATGGTACCCACTGTGCATTCACCTTGTGATATTGCAGGTGATATTTCACGATATCTTCTACACTACCAACACTGATGGACAGCATTGCTCCAAGTTCCTTGATAGTAATGTGCCTATTCTCACAAATCAGGGCAACTGCACGATCAATGTTTGGCTCGGTGACAGATGTTCGCGGCCAACGATCATGCGGTTCATTCTCCATGGGCTCTCTGCCCTCTCTCAAGCACTTAAACCACTCAAACACACGGGTCCACAAGAGACACTCTGTGGTGAATTTCAGCGGACGGGACGTTTCCTCCGAGTAATTTGATCACAATGTGATGTTCC